AAAAAAAATCGTCCGACCAAACTCAATCTTGGTAATTTTTGTGTAGCTTCTAATAGAAGCATACATTAGAAATGAAATATTGTATTGTTCATTTGCTTAGGAGAAGGAAACCACCACACTCAAAAAACAACATCAATTAATGCATAAAAACGGAAGAAGAGAAGGTTCAATATCCAATAAGGTCTGGGCATTATAATAACAATCAATAGCACAGGCAATACACCGCATTCATCCACTCTGTAGAAACTACAAACCTGTCCCTGATGCGCACACAGTTAAAAATGAAATGTGTGTATTGTTTTAAAACACAATAAATAGTGCAGCCATTTCTCTCCAAATAAAATGTGGCTAATCTGCAAGACTCAGGTGTGCACTGTACACTGGTGCAGATTCATGAGTCTTTGATGATCTTAAGTCATATTTTAATCTCCCATTTTAATAAAAAAGATAAAAATTATAGTTCTCGAGCCGGAATTGAAGGTGTTGTATCATGCAATATGCTCTGCCTGTAAATACAAATGTCAAGAGACTTATTCACCCGGGTTTCCCAAAAGACGTTCTACAGCTGCATGAACATTTCCTGAAGTGGCACGGAGGGCTCTGATATTCTCTTGAGTGTCGTAAAAACCCATCTCTTGCAGCTGAGACAGCTGGCTTGCATAGAGCTCTTCTGGGGGTACTAACCGCACAAGCAACGTTGAAATTTATCAGCAAAAATATGTAAGAAAAGCAGCAAATTTAAAAATATGTGTTGGATGAATACCAACCATTAAGATTGTTCGAAGCCGCAAACCCGCCAGCTCCAAGCCCACCAAACATATTCATCAGCATCTCTAAACCCATGTTGTTTTGTGCTCCTGCATGTTTAGCACCACAAACAAACCAAAAAAAAAAATGATGTGGCATGGGCTAAACTGAAGGGCGGTAAAAAGGTAACAGGAAATCTCATCCATAAGAATAATAATTAAAAAAAAAAGAGAGAGAGAACGAGTGCGTGTATTCCCAGTTTTGGGTGCTTCATATTTCTCTACCTTGACCAGTCTCAGCTCCATTCCTGGGAAAAGGAGATTACGCGAGTTGTGAATTTACAAATAAACAAAGTGTTGTAATAACACAGTAAATAAATACACGCATCAAACGCAAATAGAAATAGTAAGGTCATCCACAAAAAGTAGGCCCCTATAGAGTACCACCCAAGAAAATATACGGTGACGTATGCTAAGGGTCACACCACTTGTGTCAAAACAACGATTAAGAAGTAGCACATGAAAAAAGAATAAATAAATAAAGGTGCAATGCAAATCGCCAGCCGAAAGAGTTGCCTTTCTTCATGTTTAGGAAATCAGGACGTAGCCATTCCAAAGTCGACTATAAATAATATCACGGTATCCCATGAAGAATTCCAATTCATCATATCCTATGAAGTAATCAAAATGAAACAAGATGACCTATATTGAGCAAAAAATGTTATTTCTCACTCACGGTGTCTGCTGTCGAGTAAGTTGGGAAAGTTGTTGCTGCAAAGTCATCATTTGCTGTAACAATAAAGGGATAACATTCTCGTAAGGCACAGATCATATAGGCTTTTATCAAATTCAAAAACCTATGCATTAACACAGCATGAGAACTTTAAGTTTCAACCAGAATACAGTCCACATCAAATCACATATAAGTGTACATCATTTGTCTTGTGGTCTGTCCACCACATCCTTAGATGGATTATTTTGGCAGATGATTGTATCAATTTTTTATTTTTCATGTTAAAACACAAAACTCCAAATCAGGAAGGGCATCACTCCCCACCTTCCAAATAAAACTAAAATAAACCCACGGAAGAACCCATAATGAGGTTCACTCAAGTGAATAAGAGGTTGGATACATACCTGCATTGTCTCAGGTGAGGTCAATTGTCGAAGAATATCTGGGTTTTGCATCATTTCTCTTAATTGAGGATTCGTATCAAGCATGCTGCGAAGCTGAGGATTAAGGCCCAGGATCTACAATAAAATTATAACTTAGCATAACTTGAAGTAAAATGGAAAAATATTGAACCAAAAGCACGAAACTACATTTGTACCTGTTCCATGTACTGAGGATTGGAAAGCAGGCTTTGTGTGATCTGCGCCACAGCTGGATTTTGCAATAACTGACTGAATGCAGCGGGATCAGTCATACCTGTACGATCCAACTGCGGGAGACCAATACCTCCCAATCCAGCAATTGAAGGTGGTCTGGCATCGCCAGTCGGATTAGTTCTCCTAGTATTATTTGTTTGAGAACCTCCTAAAACATTACAATCGGGAGGACAAACTCCACATCATAAAAATATCCAGAGTAGAAGATACTTAAGGTACAGCGATAGATCAGAGGACAAAATGTAATATTTAAAACTACATTATGTATGACTTGAATGATTTTTTAAACTAATCCACTAATAAAGATGTCAAACTTAAAGGATTTAGCTGTGAAATAAAGTTGGCATTTGCGTGGATCTTGATCCAAGAACAAGAGTCCATGAACTCTTCACTTCCAGTAGCATCCAACATGCATGGATAAATTATAAATGCAAGATGACCAAAAGCTTTTAAGAGGTGAATGCTTTAAACTACATGAGGTTGCATCAGAAAGAAGGAAATGGCATAGAAAGGCTATGCGATTCTAACAAAAACTACCCAAGAATGTAACAAAGTTGAGAGGTGAACGCTTTAAACTAAACAGAACTGGGTCATAAAATATGGAAAGGGAATAGCAAAGGAATAAGGTTCTTAACAAACTATTGAAGAATTTACAGGATATTAACCTGACATAAGCTACCCCAAGCATATAATAACCTTGATCTTTGGCACACTAAAGTGTTTAGCTTTACCAGTATTATTCCACGGATTGGGAAGTGGATTAGAATTAGGCACAGTTGCCCCAGGTTCATGTCCAGCAGTTGAGTTTAACCCATCTCTAGTTTGGGCGCCAGCTTGATTCCCCAAGAGAGCTGCAAATGGATTAGTTCCAGCACCAGTTCCAGTACCACCACCACCACCTGCAGTTGTTGCATTCAAGAAGGGTTCTTGGACATTTTCATACATGCGCCTCAGCATGTTGAATCCCTCAGGAGAAGATTCAATGTTACTCATTGCCCTGTCTGTGTTCCGCATCATCTCACGCATCAACTCAGGGTTCCTTGCAGCTTCTAATGTTTGCCGAAGGATACTAGGATCATTAAGAACGTGGGCAAGTTCAGGATTCCTGTCAATTATCTCACGCATCTGAGGGTTACTCATAATTAAATTGCGCATTATCTCAGGGTTGCTCATTAAGCTTTGGATAGCTGGCGTGTTCATGATATCTCTCATCATGTTCGGGTTCTGAGTGAGTTGCTGCTGCATCTGTTCAAATTCAGGAAGTCCACTACCAAATAAGCCTGATGCTTCAGTTCCCCCGAATGCTCCCAAACCAAGCCCTGGAAATAAGGGTGCACCAGTACCGGCCACCCCAGCGCCTCCATGAACTGGGTCACCACCTGGAGAAACAGCTGGACTGTTGGTGTTGGTGTTTCCAGCATTGGTGGGAACAGAATCGGGAGGAGAGGCTGCTGGTGCAGAACCACGAACCATATGAACAGTGTGATCTGCCTGCAAACCTATTCAAATGTACGGACAGGCCATTATTTACCAGGAAAATGAACATGCAGCTGAAATAAGGAAAGGTAAGTGAACTGAAAAAGACTCAGGATTTTGGAGTACAGTACCAGAAAGTTAAACAACACTGAATGAAGTGATTCAGATTGACAATCATGAATTTAGTACACATGCTTAATATTCAATGAACAAAACTAACAAAAGATAGTTGTTTTATACCGCCGAGGGAAAAATTATGTCACTTTAGTGTAACTATGTTTTAAGATTCGCAGTGGTAACTCATACTGCATATGATTAACAGTAAAGCTTTGTGAGCCGCACAACTGCGACAAAACCATCAAGAACAATGTTCAAAGGTGAGAAGTAGCACAGGAAATCTAAAATCCACAGATTGCCCAAGTGTTCACTTACCATCAATTAAGTAAACAGCATCCATCATTTTTTTTTTTTAATGTCGTTGCAAGTAATGGAATATTGAAAACTGTCATGCAATCCAGCTATAACTACTTTCCCTCCCTTGTTTAGCCGGTTTGGTATTATCTATTTCTTAGGAAGTATCCCCCTAAAAGTAAATGTTCACAGACTCTAGCAACAACAGTCTGGAAGTTTTAAACTACACATGCATAAGGGATAATCTGCTCATGCTTATTGTTCCTAGTCACCCACAAAAGTCAATTTTCATAATCAAATCAAGCTTGTTCTCACAATTCCCAACAGGTAAGCAAACAAATAAAAGAGTCAACTACAGGTAACCAAGCAAAGCATGCAAAATTAATAAAAATTTATCGCAACAAACAAAAATTCCTAAAAAAAAATAAACAATCGAAAAAATTACCATAGCTAGCCAGGGTTTGGTCGTCCTTCAAGATCCGACCTTTGTAGATCAAACGCTGCTGTTGAGCGGGCACGTCACAGTTCTGCGCCAACACACCCTTAAATTCCGCCACCGTTGATTCGAGGTTCGTTTTCACCGAGAATTTAGAGCCGTTTGAGCCTCGAATGTTTATATTCACCTCCTCGGCCACCGCGACGCCCAAGCTAGACTCAGCCTCTGCCCCCATTGATTAATTTTAGTCGCTAAAATCGAGAACCACAATCAAAAACCCTAACCCTAACTTTAAAGTTGAATTGCAGCCTCGATCTGTCTTGCAATCGAAAGGAAATAAAGGGGCAGAAGTTGGGGATTGAGGAAAATTGAAAATTTATTTATATTTATTAGAGGAAGAAAATTATGGTTTTTACTTTTTACGAGAATATTCTTTTCTCTTCCTTGATGTCTCATTTTTTATTAAATAACTATTAATTAATTAATTAATTAATTAATATATTAATAACAAAATTTTTATCAATTTCTGATCTGGTAAAAGAATTAATTATCAATTTGAAAACTAAACAATAGATTCTATCAATTCTGATAGCTGATAAGTTAGTTTATAGCTTATATGTAGTTTTTGAGCTTATAGTTTATGACTTATAGCTGAAAAGCTAGCTTATATGATAGAAGGCGTTTGATATATTTTTTTTTTTTTGGTACAAAAGAAGAGGCAAGACGCCTAGTGAGTTACGGAGTAGACAGTGCAGGGATAGGCCACGCCGATAAGGTCATGTTGGAGCCATTGCCGTAGATCCCCCGGCGGTTCATCCAAAACTTGGAGACCTACTGGTCCTTTCGCGGCAAAGGAGGCTAAGAAATCGGCCGCGTAATTCGCCTCACGGTATATGTGTTTAATCTTTACTTCCCACTGGTGACTCAGGAGCTCCTTGATCCCCGAGACTAAGCCTGTGTGTACTCCGGGGACATCATCCATGGCAGACGCAAAAGTCACAACACCCACATTATCTACTTCGGCCTCAACATGCCGAAAACCCAAGTCCCATGCAAGGGACAAGCCTCGAAAAAAACCCCATAGCTCCGCCGCCATTATTGAGCAAACACCGATGTTCATGGAGAAACCACCGAGCCAGTGGCCTTGGTCATCGCGCAGCAAACCCCCCGCACATCCCCTCCCTATCGAAGGATCAAATGAGCCGTCGGAGTTCATTTTGATCCAACCTGTACGAGGAGTCTCCCAATTTATCCATTCCGGTGTTCATGATCTGCCCGTTTCACCAAGCTTGCGGGCGCCGTTAATGACACACTCCATGCCTGCTATATATGCAGTAATTTCGTGCAGCCCGCCTTCTACAACACGATTCTTTCCTTGGAAAATGAGCTCGTTACGCCAACACCATAATTTCCACACTACT